GTTGGCCAGGCATTGGTGGTTGGCCAGGCATTGGCAGTTGACCAGGCATTGGTGGTTGGCCAGGCATAGGCGGTTGGCTATGCATTGGATGTTGGCCAGGCATTGGGGGTTGGCCTGGCTTTGGTGGTTGCCCAGACAATGGTGGCTGACTATGCATTGGAGGTTGGCCAGGCATTGGAGGTTGCCCAGACATTGGAGGCTGGGCAGGCATCGGGTGTTGGCCAGGCATTGGAGGTTGGCCAGGCATTAGTGGTTGGCCTGACATTGTTTGTTGACCAGACCTAGGTGCTTGTCCTGGTATTGGAGGCTGCATTGGTGGCATTGCTAAAGGTGAGATAAATTATAACAAGTTATGCAACAAAGTTTTCTAGAAAAAGTGTATTTAAAGACACTTGAAAATTGTTATTATACTTTTTATAATCAACTAAAAATAAGTGAATGATACTTACCTCCATAAGAGCTAGGTGGTTGGGCAGACTGTCCGGGTGGCCCAAACCCAGAGGGAGGTCTAGCTTGAGACAGTGGTGGTGGCATATGAGGTAAGCCAGGCATGGAAGGGAACTGTGACTGCGAAGATGGAACTTGCTGCGGTGGCATACTAGGTTGCGGAGGAAGACCAGCTTGTGAATTGGGTGGACCAAGAGGCACTTGAGGTCCCATCTGTCCAGGCATAGGACCATGCTGCGGGGGCATTCCAGACATTGGGCCCCGAGGTTGTCTTTGATAATCAAATCCAGTTGGTGGCCCACCCGGCTGACGCATTTGCGGAGGCTGCAAATTCTGCTGCAATTGCAAACTAGGACCTGATTGATTCGGAGATAATCCTGTCTGACCTGGTGTTAATCCTTGCTGGTTTTGTAATCCTGGTTGACTAGTCGGTAGAGGCATTCCTTGGAAACCAGCCATTTGTGATGGTTTTGCCTGTTCAGGGCCATTAGGGGGTCTTCCCATCATACCAGGTTGAGGTGGAATCCCAGGTTGGGAATGTGGAGGCATCTGTGACATTTGCGGTGGAGCACCAGGCTGCCCTGACAGTGGCGGGCCTGATTGGGATATCATTGGCTTAGGTTGGCCTTGAACCATCTGAACTTGAGGTGGTCCTTGAAATTGCCCTTCCTTGCCAGGAAATTGTCCAAATCCTTGGGCTTGAGTAGAAGCAGTAGACATGGGAGGTTGCATTTGAGGTGGTAATTGAGAAGCTTCGCTTCCTTGTGGCCTTCCTGCCATAGAAACCGGTGGCCTCATGTTAGGAGGTAGCTGACTAGGTCCATAGTTTGATGTAGGTGGAAAGCTGCCAGGTGGGAACTGTCCAGGTGGCAATTGAGAAGAAGGTATCCCTTGTGGTCCGTTTAAGTTCATATTTTGCATTTTGTTTGATATCTCAGTAGAGTCAAACTGCTTCATAGGCATTTGTGGACCATTTGGTGGCATTTGGCCATAGATGTTGGCATTCTGTACTCCATTGTAGTCTTGCGACGTTGGTGGGAAGCCCAGGGGATTGGAAGGGGCATTGTTATTTTGTCCAGGCGGCAGATATTGTGGGTTCATCATGTTGTTAGAAGCCGATCACCTGAAAAGGTAGAAACAGACTTAAAAAAGAAAAATCTGTGATCATACTGGGTTGTATTCTTAGTGATTAACAAAAGTATCTTTCAAATTAAGTGATTCATTATGTGTAAACAATGTTAAATGGCAATGTTTTAAGGACCTATAAAATTGTTTTCACCCAAATTATGCAATATAAAATTAAAAATAATTATTTGATATTAAACTATGAGAACACAATAAGAAATTCTGCTAAGATTCTGAATTTAATAATTTAAATATATGAAAGTTTATATTGCAACACAAAACAAGCATCATTCAGCTTTGACACCGAAATTGTATTATCGTCATAGCTTATTATATTTTCATAAATTCCATTTGTAACAAAATTTTATTACTAAGTCTAAAATGAGATTTAACAGTCAACAGATTACCAATTTTAAGAATCATTATTTTCAAAAAGTCTTTGGTTATTGCATTTAGTTTAAAAATTGATTCAAAATGCTTTAATAATGTACACAAGAAATCTGCACTGAATGAGATGATAATTGAAAATGATTAATATATTTACATAACATAAAGTGTGTCAATGCAATACTTCCTATCATAATCAATTTAGTATATAATCTAACGTATCATGTAAATATGTTATGGGTATTTCTTATAGATTACATTTACTGGTAAGCAAGTCATCATTACTTAAGATATCATGTAATTAAGAGAAATTAAGCAAATGCATACTACGAAAAAACCAGAATGTTTGGCACATATCACACTTGACTTGACTTTCAAAATATTATTTACATCAAAATTCTTTATTTATATTGATATAATAAACTAGAAACAAAGCCAAAATCTAATAATATCTCTCAAAATATTGTAAATTTGAAGTTTGACAGATGCCGTCTTAATTTCTAATCACTATATCTTAGCTCATTTACATGACCCTCGAAAATGGTAAATAAAAAAGTAAAATATAGAAATGCATTTTCAAATACTCACGGCTTATAAAACGAATTTTCACGAATTTTTGCAATAAAAAATATAAACAAGACACATGAACAGCACAGAGTTTGGGGCCACGTATTCTGGCATATAGTGTTGTCACGTTAATACCGCTTATGTGGAACTTTTGAAATTTCATCGGTTATGCGTATAAAGAAACGTTGTCAGCGTATCGTTTATTATAAAAAGCTAATTTTTTCCTGAGTTAATAGAGTAACTTCAACTTCAAAAAATTAACAATGATCTGGTTCATGTTTTGGTTTAATTTGATTGCGATAATATCTATTTTACAATTCATCGAAAAAAGAAAATTCCTAAGTCAGTTTTGATGGAACGAAACGCATATCCTTGTTATGGCAATTTTTATACTTATGTGTCAAATTTCCTATCGACAAATAAAAATATTCCCTGGCATTATAAAAATAGAGTATAATTTTGATTAAAATTAAAATAGAGTAAAATAGATGCTATTTATCTATTTTTTTTTAATATTTTCTAAGAAAACATTTTTAAAATGTTGTTATAAATGCGAATGTTTGGATGTTTTTTAAAAAGTTTCTCCAGATCGATTGCATGTATCTTGAAATTTGTCATTGATGGAGAACATAGTCCGGAAGAACACATAGGCTACCAATTAAGTTTTTTTTTATTCCACGCGGACGGAGTTACGACAGCTAGTATTAACATATATTACGTACATACAACATACATATTTGAAGAAAATTGAAAAAGAAATAGGCCACTGTAGCCGCAGTTTCTCCGCAAAATTGAAACCGCGCGATTGTCGCTGTCTAAACTAGCGCTTAGTTTAAATATGGGTTATAAAATGGCTATTGTTACTATGATTACATTTTATCCCTGCATCCCTGGGCAAGACACACCCTGGCTTGTACGCATGCGTTGAAAACCTCGAATAGGGACGACAAAATTTGTTTACATCGATAAAACTTTTAACATCTAACTTGAAAAATGTACAGCTCTATAAAAATGCCTTTTTTCTCATTCTTATTATGAAGGTCTGATAATTTCTACAGATAAACCTCACGCATCAAACAAAACGCAGAACAGGTACCTCTATTTTAAACATTGTTAGGGGTGGTACTAACAATTCGTGGCTTGAACATAAAAATGACTATCGATGTTTCGATTACATGACAACCCTAGTATTGTAGCCCATCCCCTATCGATTCGCACCGTCAAAGCCTAATTTTGTCTGTAGGCCGCGAACATTAGTTTAAAAAGGATTCATAGGTAATATCTTAATAAAGTATATTCAATCTAATTTAAATGTGGTTTAGATATATTTTTCAATGGCCGGTTAAATGAAATGTGACGCCTTATTTCGTAGATTTTGAAAGCGAGATGAATTTGTGCTATTGAATCCAACGACTTAAAGATAAAAGTTTAAAGTTCAATTTCCTTTGTTTGAATATTAAATGAAAATCATTTTTAGACCCCAGCTCGAGGCTTCGAAGTATGAAAAGCTAGCTTCAGCGAAGAAGGCGTAAATATGATTTTGGACTGAATTATGTTATTTTAAGCGTTAAAACTTAAAAAATATACGTAAAATGTACTCTTTTAATGATGTTTTGTTACTAAAAAGGTTGTGAATAAGCGTTATTAAGAATTGGAGTGAAATTGTACTAGTAATAAGAAGAAAAGCTCATGTGTCTGTACTCGAGAACTTACGTAGTTACTGAAAGCTTACGCTTGGATAAAAGTTGACGGTGAGTCTATTCCATAACAATTTTCTTTAATAGTTATATTTGTAGAATTATTTTCAATTTCCACTGGTCCAAAAATACGTTAACGACTGTACGTGCTAGTGCAGAAAAGACTTAAAAATCAAGACTTGTTTTTTTTGGGTTGGTTGACTTCGCACATATCTTTGAATTTCTTCTCAGATATGTGCGATCACGATTTTTACCTTTACCGTAAGAACGTAGGATAAATTTACATATAACCAGGGCTATGTACAGGCTTGACCAGCGTGGTTGACTACGGTTTAGTCACCCCTCACTTAGTTTTGGCTGCAAGCCCATTAGTGGGATGTATAATGAGCTGATGATGAAGAGAGGTGTAGGAGACGTGGTTGTTCACAGTCAATATGCTGCTGTTACTATTGCTGGTGGGGCTGAGCATGGGAGTGCCGCAGAAGCCCAACCTGGACGCTATTCTCAACCGCAGGACAGATGTCTACATAGCGGGCTTCTTCCCATTCGGAAAGGGAGTCGAGAACTCAAACACTGGTATCTATTTACTGCTAAGAAAGAACAACAAACTTATCTTTACTTGATTACTATCCCTAGTGATAATAATTACTTTTCCTTTAACAATAATTCCTTAAAAATGTATATATTACTTTCAGTGCGATTATTTTACACTGTTAGCAAAGCTTGCCAGTGGCACTGAAAGTGTTAAACATAGCCTGCAAGTTTATATGCTGCTTATTTTGTAATCATATATTATAATTTGATAATTGTATAAAAGAGCACACATAATTGTAAACATCAAGAATTCTGTAATCTCTACCTCCCCCTATAGGATACCGGCGTGAGTTATTTGTAAAGAGTGTTGTACCAAAGCTATGTCAATACCGCTGTAGGTCGCGGCGTGATGCCAAGCGTCAAACTGGCGCTGGACCACGTCAACGAGCATGACTCCGTGCTGCGTAATTACCGACTGCACATGTGGTGGAACGACACAGAGGTACCCTCACTTTTCTCATGTAGCCTGCTGCTCTATTAAGTCTCCCTTAAAAGTTATCTTGTCTTTGTCCAGTTGACAAATTTACGATCATATTCCGAAAAAATTTTTATCTTAAAAAAACATTTTCCTCCACGGTCTGAAACAGCTGACTGTAGCATGAGCTCACCAATACAGCTCAAACCCAGTAAGCTATTTTGATAACCTGTTATTTGCCAGTGCAACGCTGCGGTGGGCGTGAAGTCTTTCTTCGACATGATGCACAGCGGACCACACAAGCTGATGCTATTCGGCGCGGCCTGCACGCACGTCACTGACCCCATCGCCAAGGCATCTAAGCATTGGCATCTTACACAGGTAAGAGATCAGGGTCACCATAACTGTCCAATAAGAGTACTTAAATCAGTAACACTTAAATAATAAAATACTTCCCCATTTTTGTTTCAGCTATCCTATGCGGATACCCATCCAATGTTCACGAAGGAGGCGTTCCCCAACTTCTTCCGTATCGTGCCCTCTGAGAACGCTTTCAACTTGCCGCGCATCCGCCTGCTGCAGCACTTCAATTGGACAAGAGTCGGCACCATCTACCAGAACGAACCCAGATATGCTCTGGTAACTTTGCACATAGATGGTACTCGTCATATTAATTCTGTAGTATTATTAGATGTACTCGAGACCTCGTTATATGTTCCAGGCACACAATCGTCTACTGGCAGACTTAGATTCTCACGGATTCGATATCGACGAGACGCAGAGCTTCGCAACTGAAGTAAGAACTGCACTAGAGAAGCTAAAGGAAAAGGACATTAGAATAATACTCGGAAATTTCAATGAGACCTGGGCCATGAAAATCTTCTGTGAGGCATACAAGTATGTGTTGGCTTATTCCATAGTATATAGTATTCTACTGCCAGCAACTTGCAATTAAATCGAAGGGTAGCTACTTCACATATTGCTATCTGTTTAGGCTGGAGATGTATGGACGCGCGTACACGTGGCTGTTGCTGGGCACGTACAGCGAGCGGTGGTGGCTGAAGCGCGGACCGTGCGCGCGCCGCGAGCTCACTGCCGCCCTCGACACCGCCCTGCTCACTGACCTGCTGCCGCTGTCTACCACCGGGGAGACCACCATCTCCGGCATCGTATGTACTGGACACTTTGGCGCAAGCACCCTGGTGCAATCCCTCAAAGATCTTGTGATTTACATCCATTTACATCCAGGCGCAGAACTTATCAGATCCTAGTCTGGAATAATATGTACACCGGTATGATCTCTTCACAAACGTTGTTATTAATTTTTTAGACGGCAAAAGACTATCAGATAGAATACGACCGAAGGAGAGGTCTGGAGTATTCAAGATTCCACGGGTACACTTACGATGGTGGGTAAAAATGAGGGAACTATATAGAGAGTTTATAATAATTAATTAGGTGGAGTTTTCATATTAATAAAACTGTATATTCGAAGGCATATGGGCGATGGCACTGGCCATACAGACGGTGGCACAGCGGGTCAAACTGAAGCACAAGGAGAAGACGGTGCAAGACTTCCGCTACCGAGACAAGGAGTGGGAGCAGCTCTTCCTCGACGCTCTCAGCAATGTTACATTCGAAGGAGTCACCGTGAGATTGCATGTTTTATTATTTAGGACATTTTATTTATGGAAGTCGAAGAGCTAGGAAGACAAAAAAGCAACTGTAATTTCTCTTATTCTATTCTGGTTTGAAATTATTTTTAAATTCCCAGGGTCCAGTAAGGTTCTACGACAACGAGCGAAAAGCATCGATCCTTCTCAAGCAGTTCCAGGGCGATCAAGTTGGAGAGATAAAAGTCGGAGAGTACTGCGCGGAGAGAGATCACCTGGATTTAACCAGCTGGGAATCTTTTAAATGGGTTGGCAAGTAAGGATTATGAAATACCTAATTTTGGTGTACGGAAATTTAATTATACTTTTAATGACGTGAAACCAAAGTAAAAATAAACTGGTATAGCCTTGCATACAATTCTCATAGATTGACAAATGTTCTCATACATACAGACAGACAACGATATAGGATTAACAAATTAAATTCCTTCAGGAAAATGAAACAGGTGCATCAGTACTAAATGTCCTTTTTAAATCCAGGAATCCCCCAAAAGACCGAACGTTACGTCTCATCGAGCATACTCAGGTGAACATCACCATCTACACCGTACTGGTCTCCTGTTCCGTGCTCGGCATCATCCTGGCCACCGGCTTCCTCGCCATGAACATACACTATCGTAATCAAAGGTGACAATGATTAGCTGTGCTTCATAATACTTCTACTGGTAAAGAGATTTCGTGATTTCAGTGTAAAAAATCAGACTACATGTGGCATTACGTCGACAGATTCCTTTTTCTGCTTTCACATAAAAAAAATAGTAACTGTTATGACAAACATCGGTCTCCTGAAGTAATTTACTAAATTGTTTTAGTCAAAAGAATGTTGTTCAATTTTCTTTCTTGTAGATACATTAAGATGTCATCGCCACATCTGAACAACGTGATAATCATCGGCTGCATCTTCACCTACATGAGTGTCATCTTCCTCGGCCTCGACTCCAGTCTGGGCAGCTTGGGTATGTCCTTATCTACCTTCTGGATTCTGTTCTGTTTGCATTGTCATAAATATCTTTGTTTACACTTCTCTTTGACGGATCGAAGGTAAACTAATGCATTGAATATTAAACTGTCATTTAACAATATCACAATGCTCTTTATGATTGCTTAAAATACTTTCAACCGTAAAACCTTTAATTGGTGTTTTCAATTTATAACTTCTTTGATCCTATAAACAGTTTATATACAATTGTAGAGAGCTTTGGAATTACATAATTGCATACCGTTACTAATAAAAAAAAAAACATTTTAAAAGCGATATTGTAAAAGTGAAAAGGCTCACTTCGGACTCGCATGTTGCTGGCACACTGTCTGTCACGCTGGAACGCCATCTGATCTCATCAACTTCATTGATTCTTAGGTCTTTCTCAGGAACCGTCGCGACGAGGTAATAGCTTGCTCCCATACCCACAGCTTCAGCTTCGACCCTGGGCAGAATGGAACCCGCTAACCAAATTTTGGGAACTTGGGCCCCCCCTTGTGAATTTAGTGTTATGATTCTGAGAAAGACCTAGGCCGTTTTCTAGGTCACCGGAGTCGACAGCATGTTTCCAAGTTTTGGTTCATTTGGTTATTCCTTTTACCTTCATCCGTATGCTTCTATCGGCCGATTGTTTGTGTGGTTTCGTGTGTTTTTATTTACTTTAAGCTGTATATTTGTCAGTACGTTGTGAGATACTATCGCTTTGAGGATTAACGATATTATTATTTGCAGCTCTCCTTGTACCGTCATCTATTCGGTATCCTGCGCTTGCGGACGCTACCATCGCCTTCTGTTCTTTGTTTGTAGTTATTGCTCATTAATTACTTTTATTCTTGCACTAAATTTTATTTAATTAAAAGAGTGAATTAAATAACTTGATATAATAAAATATGTTAAATATTTTTCGAGTAAATAGAATGTGTAATATACATTCGCGAAACGTTTATGATTTAATGTCTGGGTCTACCTTGTTCAGGTGCATTTCCATTCATCTGTAGCGCGAGGGCGGGTCTGCTGATGACGGGTTTCAGTTTTGCATTCGGCGCGATGTTCTCCAAGACCTGGCGCGTGCATTCCATCTTCACTGATGTTAAGCTCAATAAGAAGGTAACAAATGGCCAAGATCTTTTTGTCCTCCCAATATCATGTTCTTAATATTTGTAATTTTTCATACTTTGGAAGATTCTTACATTTATCCTCTATGTCATGAACTAGTAGTATTCCTGTTTTCTTGTCTATTATCTTACCTATTGTGTTGGTATTTTCAGGTGATAAGAGATTATCAACTATTTATGGTGGTCGGAGTTCTACTGGCTATAGACATTGCTATTATGAGCACGTGGCAGATATTCTATCCCTTCTATAGAGCTACAAAACAGATGGAGCCATACGTAAGTTATACGATTACTTAGTTATATTATTTCTCAAGTTAGATTCCAAGTAAGTTAATAACGTATGTGGACTTTAATAGCCTCATCCGACAAGTGAAGACATCGTTATCGTTCAAGAGAATGAGTACTGTCAATCAGAAAAGATGACCATTTTCGTCGGAATCATTTACGTGTACAAGGGACTCCTACTGGTAAGTGTTTGGTAGAATAATAATTAATTTCGTAGTAATTTGTAAGAATTGCTTAGGTTCATCAATACCTCAGAATTGAGGGTCGATTTTGTCTCTGGCTTTTGCACTAACAGTAGAAATTCAACGTAAACAAGACTATATCTGCTATTACTACTTCATATAAGATGATCTATATTTCTTACTTAGGTGTTTGGAGCATTCCTCGCTTGGGAGACTCGACACGTATCCATTCCCGCGTTAAACGATTCTAAACACATCGGTCTGTCTGTCTACAATGTGCTCATCATGTGTATTATGGGTGCACCCATCGCTCATGTAAGTTACATTTAACACACATAACACAATTCAATACTTAAAGTGTTTATATATGTTGAAAATGGTCCTTTGAGTCCTATTATTTTATTGCAGGTGCTCGCGGACCATAAGGACGCCCTATTTGTTCTCATATCTATCTTCATTATATTCTGTACAACGGCCACTTTGTGCCTGGTATTTGTGCCCAAGGTTAGTGTTTGTTATGCCATCAAACTTTTAAAAGACGTTCCAAAATAAAGAATAACTTATGTACTATTTATTTTGGTATATCTTTCATTAAGCTTTTCTTACACAGCGGTATCACTGTCTAATGAAACAGCTTCATGGTTCAACTATTGTCAAGATTTTTCTTAGAGTAAATATGGGTCTAAACAAGATCCTGTTTTCCCAGCTACTAGAGCTACGTCGTAATGGCCAGCCGGGCGCGGCGGGGTCTCGGATCAGGGCGACGCTGCGGCCGGCCACGACACACGAGTGCCGCGACCCCGGCCCCGAGCTGGAGCGTCGGCTGAAGGAGCTGCGCCAATATAACAACCGCTACCGCCGCACGCTGCAGGCCAAGGAGAACGAACTGCAGGTAGAAAATTCATGAGTACGTGTTGAATACCACTCCACTGTCATCGTGGAAACCAATTATATCACTCTCCCCAGCTTGTCCAAAATCTTTTTTATCCTTCACTCTTACTTTCGAAGCCAGTTTGTTTTTGCTTGCTGTATGTTGACAATGCCACGCATTGCAGATGTTGCTCAGCAAGCTGGGCAGCGACGCTAGCTCGGAGTCTTCTACACGGGAGTCGCGGTCGCCTGCGCAGCGCGTGCGCCTGCCCACTACCAAGGAGAACATCAGCCATCCAGGTTCCCACACAAGTGTTACAAGTCTAAAGCCTATTCATGCTATGCTTTCTAAAGACTATTTAATCTTGGAGGACAGTAATATTACGCTTCTGTATGGTGTATCCTTCAAAATGTATGATATTTTAGCTTTAACAATATCAATTGTCTAATTTCTGTTTATAATAATTGCAGAGACCAGCGATATAACGTCAGTGTGCAGCCTCAGCGCCTCGGCTGGTGCGGAGTCAGAGTACATAAACCTGCAGAGCCAAACCAGCATTGAGAAGTAGGTCCAGTCCATAAGCAATTAGGTACAACTTGTAGTTTAGCAAAAATCTAAAACAGCAAACTGTTTTCAGGCCCAAGCCCTCCGCTCCTCCAGAGCCAGTAAAAGAGGTGACCATAAAAGAGCCGAAGAAAGAACAAACGAAGAATGTATCTTTCAAGAACCACCTGGACTACACCAGCCCGCCGTCTTCTAAAGCTGTGCCTGAAAAAGACCAGCTCGCTAAACTGCCTTATGGCTGGTCTACTGAGGTAAGCATTAATAAAAAAAGAATATAAATTATCAGTTGACCAAAATGAGTTCCTGGATTTATTTCTTTGTTTAGTACGTTGAAACCAAGAGGAAATTGGGTATATTAATTACCTCTCCCATTTAATTTATCAATTTCTTTAGGAACCCCCTGAACCACCAAAGCCTATCACTAAGCCATCAGAGCCGGTGAAGGCGGAGACAAAGACAGTGTCCGCGCTGAAGACCAGCGATTCTAGCACCGCCAAGTCTG